AAAAAATAATGGTTGGGGCACCTGGGTGGCTCAGTCGGTTAAGTGTCCGACTCTTGATTTCGGCTCAGGTCGTGATCTCAGGGTTGTGAGATCAAGCCTGAGCCCCGTGTCAGGCTCCGAACTGGGCGTGGAGCCTGCATGATTCTCCCTCTCTCCCCCTCTCCCTCTATGCCCCCCCTACCCTGCTCGGGCACACACTCTCTCTTAAAAAATGAAGAAATGGAATCATACAGTCTGTACCCTTTTCTGGGGGGTTCTGCCTTCTCTCACTTGATGTATGTATATAAATCAATATATCAATATCTATGTGTATATATATATATATACTTTTGATATTCATCTGTGCTTTTTTGTGATTTAGTAGCCAGTGCCTTTCTATTGCGAAGTAGTATTTGACTGCACGGATACGCCACATTTTGTTTATCCATTCATCAGTGGATAGACATTTGGGTCATTTCTACCTTTTGCCTATCAGGAATGATGCTGCTATAAACATTCCTGTACAAGTTTTTGTGTGGACCCGTTTTCATTTCTCTTGAGGTATATACCTAGAAGTGGAATTGTCAGACTGTTTCCCAAATGACTGTAGCATTTCACATCCCCAACAGCAGAGTACAAGAGTTCTAGTTCCTGGGGCGCCTGGGTGGCTCAGTCGTTAAGCATCTGCCTTCGGCTCAGGTCATGATCCCGGGATCCCGGGATTCCGGGATCGAGCCCCGCATCGGGCTCCCTGCTCGGCGGGAAGCCTGCTTCTCCCTCCCCTACTCCCCCTGCTTGTGTTCCCTCTCTCGCTGTGTCTCTCTGTCAAATAAATAAATAAAATCTTAAAAAAAAAAAGAGAGTTCTAGTTCCTTCACATCGTGAGGTCTTACCCACCAGCTCTTCCTTGTCATTTCATGTTGCATCCCCTCCCCCAGGAGTTTCTTCCCATCAACTCCTTTGGTGGTGTCTTTCAGTCTATTGTAGCTGTAACAAATCACCACAAACTCAGTGGCTTAAGCAACACAAATTTATTATCTTACAGCTCTGTAGGTCAGAAGTCTGACATGGTACTGACTGGGCTAAAATCAAGGGCTCTAGCCGGCCTGTGGCTCTTTCTGGAGGCCCTGGGGGAAGGCCCGTTTCCTGGCTCATTCAGGTGGCTGGCTGAATTCAACTCCTTGTGCTTGTAAGGCTGGCATCCTCTTTCCTTGCTGGCGGTCAGCTGAGGGTTATTCTCAGCTTCTCGAGGCCACCCTACACCTTGGCTCATGGGCACCTTTGTCTTCCAAGTTAGCAGCAATGAGTCACGTCCTTCTCACGCACCACTTCTTCTGCCTCTTGGTTCCATCCTTGAGTCTCTCCGGCCCGCTCTTCACCACCTCCCTCTTCCACGGTTAAGGGCGCATGTAATTAGACTGGGCACACCTAGATAAACCATGATCATCTCTCCATCTCAGTGTCCTTAAACCTTAATCACATCTGCAAAGTCCCTTTTGCCATGTGAGGTAAATAGTCACAGGCTCCAGGGATAAGAATGTGGGTACCCTTGAGGCAGGGATCATTAGTCTATCACCCCAGGTTTGGACAACTGTCTGCTTGACTTCTCTACTTGGATGTTTCATGGGCATTTCAAAACTAACATGCCCGAAAGAGAACTTTTAATTCCCTCCCCACCAAAAATCTACCCTACATTGTCACCTGGCAACATTATCTACCTTGTCAATCGAATCAAAAGCCAAAAACCTAGGGGCCATCTTTAAGTGCTTCCTTTTATTCGCTACATTCAATTGCTCCTTAAATCCTGCTGAGTTCACCTCCAAAATATGTCTGAACCCGCTCTCTCCTCTCCAGCTTTAGTGCTGCCATTCGAATCTAAGCCATCATTTCATTTTTTAAAATATTTTTTTTAATCTATTTGAGAGAGAGGACAAGTGGGGTGGGGAGGGGCAGAAAGAGAGGGAGAGACAGACTCCCGGCTGAGCAGGGAGCCCGACGCGGGGCTCGATCCCAAGACCCGGAGTTCGTGTCCATCTGCCGAAGGCAGATGCTTAACTACCTGAGCCCCCCAGGCGCCCCTAAGGAATCATTTCTTACTTGGACTTTGTAAGTCTCTTCTTACCTCGTTTTCCCACTCAGTTTTTCTTCCCTCTAATCTATTATCCACACAGCAACCAGAGGGATATTTTTTAAAATGAAAATCAGAGTATATTGCTTCTGTACATAAAAACCTTCAATGACTCCTGACTGCATTTAGAATAAAATCTAACTTTTTTTTTTTTAAGATTTTATTTATTTGAGAGACAGAGTGCGAGAGAGCGTGAGCGGTGGGGAGAGGGGCAGAGGGAGAGGGAGAAGCAGGCTTCCCGCCGAGCAGGGAGCCCCATGCGGGGCTCGATCCCAGGACCCTGGGATCATGACCTGAGCTGAAGGCAGCCGCTTAACGCACTGAGTCACCCAGGTGCCCCAAAATCTAACTTCTTATTATGGCGCAAACAGTGACACATGATCTGGCCCTCTGTCCAGCCTCATCTCTCACACACTCTCACTTGAGCACCACACTACCAGTCTTTTCCCACTACCAGTAGCACTTTTGCACCTCTGTGCCCTCTGCCAGAATGCTCTTCTCCCTAGCTCTTTGCACGGTTGCCTCATTGTCATCTTTCAGGTCTCATCTCAAATATCACCTCTCAGAGCACTTAAAATATTTCCCTCAGGGGCGCCTGGGTGGCTCAGTCGTTAAGTGTCTGCCTTCGGCTCGGGTCATGATCCCAGGGTCCTGGGATCGAGCCCCGCATCGGGCTCCCTGCTCTGCAGAAAGCCTGCTTCTCCCTCTCCCGCTCCCCCTGCTTGTGTTCCCTCTCTCGCTGTGTCTCTCTCTGCCAAATAAAGAAATAAAATCTTTAAAAAAATATTTCCCTCACTCCCACCTAATTCTCTGGTAAAGCACCCTGTTTGTTCCCCTCATACCATTACAATTTATAATTACCTGACTTGCAGATTACTTTTTTATTGACTCTCAACCTTCTAGAACGTAAGCTCCATGAGGGCAAGGAACTTATCTGCTTTACTTTCCACCGTGTCCAGAGGTCCCAATAGTTGTCAAATTGATGTGTGAAAGCCAGTCTTCTTACTCTATCCCACTTTTTGCTTGCTTCCATCTTTGCGACACTGCATATGCCCCACCTTCAACCTGCAACCTATCCTTAGACCTATTCGATCTCCAAACTATTCTTGACCAACTAATATCCTCTCCTTTCCTTCAAAACTTAGCTCAAGACTCGTTACTAGCTCCTCTCACCTATGATGATCCCTTTCTTTTTTCTTTCTTTTTAAGTAGGCTCCACACCCATTGTGGAGCCCAATGTGGGGTTTGAACTCACGACCCTGAGATCAAGACCTGAGCTGAGCTCAAGAGCTGGACACTCAACTGACTGAGCCACCTAGGCGCCCCTATGATGATCCCTTTAATCATTGATTCAGTAGGTATACAGGGAGCCCCTTGGTAGTCTTATAGACAGTTGCTACCACATTATCATGTCTTTGCTTATATTTGCTTTGTAATCAGGGCCATTTCTTGTATGTAGGGATGTTTTGTCTTTAAGACTGTGCTTCTGGGTTAATAATATTGTATCACATTTCTTTATAATCCTCCTAAAGTACTTAGTCCAGTTTGATGCACACTGCCAGCCGTAAAGCAGGAAAGCAGAACACTCCCTGAGAAAATGAAAATAAGCTGGAAGTTTATTTTAGGAACAAAGCTAGAGGTTTTTTAAAGTTAATTTTATTTATTTATTTATTTATTTATTTTAGTAATCTCTACACCCAACGTGGAGCTCAAACTCATGACCCCAAGATCAAGAGTCACACACTCTTCCGACTGAGCCAGCCAGGAGCCCCCCCAAAACTAGAGTTTTAAGAGTTGTCCTGAAATTAGAAAAATGAGGCATTCCTTTTCCCCACTTAACTTTATTGAAAAAGCCAAAACTACGGCTCAGAGGACATTCCTGTGTGTGACAGTAGCAAGAGTGTGGCTATCCGTCTCATAATATGGGTGGAAGAATACAAAGAAGATATTAACACGATGTAAGTAACTTGAGGCTAGGATTTTAGAGCTAGTAAAAAAAATAATTTTTTTTTGCAGATTTTAGAACTTTAAAAAAATTCGTCGCCTCAAGGAATGTGAAGAGTTAATAAATAGGGACTATTCACTATGGGTAAAGAAGTTGCCACCCTCCAAACTGTAACAGATTGGGCTACAGATGAGATCTTCCTGTATTAATTGCTATTCCTCTGCTATAACTCACCTCAGGAAGGAATGACCAAACAACATTTTTCTTTGGAAAATACATTTAACAGGGAAAAATACTTGCAACATACTGAAAGCCTGTGTGTGTGTGTGTGTGTGTGTGTGTGTGTGTGTATAAATTAACAATTTACTATTATTGTCTTTTAATGCATAGACAGGCACTATTTGAAAGTAAGGTTATATAAACTTGACATGGAGTTCCCGAGGTGGAATAACCCAAAATTTGATTTTTAAAAAATCGAGTAGAGATGATTAGCCTGAAGTGTTTTTGTTCAGTTCTATTTTTTTGATGTGTGTCAAATGTTCTATTTGGTCCTTTTCTAGACAACTGGGACATCTTGTGAGAATAACTTAAGTTGACTAAATAATTTATTTTCAGGGTAGGCTTGCAAAGCAAGTGAAAAAGGCAGAGAATTCAGGCCACTTCAACTGTACATGATTTCAATTGGAAGAAGGTCTTCTGGGGCATTAAGCGGTCACAGTAAAAACTGCCTTCCTGAAAAAAGATTCCTGAAATTCTTAAGCTTGAGATGCTTCAAATTTAAATAAAAAAGGATGGTTCTACTATGAGAGAGTGATGACTTCTAAATGTTAAAGGTTTTAATTTAGTTTCTTTTTTAAAAAGATTTATTTATTTATTTGAGAGAGAGAGACAGCACCCACAGAGGGACAGGGAGAAGCAGACTCCCCACGGAGCAGGGAGCCTGATGCGGGACTCGATCCCAGGACCCTGGGATCCTGACCTGAGCCGGAGGCAGACGCTTCACCGACGGAGCCACCCAGGCGCCCCTTTTAGTTTCTGGTAAAGTATAATTTATGCTATAGCGTGCACACGCAGAAGTCAGCAAACATTAGGAGTTTCAGAAACAAGCCTGTTGGGAAGACTCGGGTCGAATGGAGCAACGCGAGGCCAGTGTGGGTTTAGCGCAAGCTGCAACCCTGTGGCTGAGCTCCTGATGTGCTATTTGCTCAGCCGCTTCGAGGACATGAGACTCTGAGGTCATGGTGATGCCCTTTCTTTGGTGTCGTGTAAGTTGCACATTTACGGAGTATACTCGCACGTTTCGTTAATACTAGGTTTTGTTATAAAATCTGGTGAAGGCCACCATGCAGCAGTCATGTTGGGAAGCTTTTCCATGGCACAGGCGTTCACCAGGACATCAGTTTGGAGCTTGGAGCTGGTTCTGTGGCTGAATCTTCTCACTTCCAAGAGCAGCAGATGGGAGTATCCTCTCGCCACTCTGCGCACACACAGTTATGAGGCGACATTTTTTTTAATGATTATAACACGCCTTCGGTCAGTGCACTTCTTGTTTCATTCAGTTTCACAGAGTTGGTTTTTTAGACTTCAGTTGTCCAGTTTTGAAGAACTTTTTAAGTTCCCGCAATTCCTGGGGCTTCAAACTCTGATCCACCCCTGGGGTCAATTTACAGCTCAGAGGAGACACAATGTAACCATTTTGGTAAAGACAGATTCTCTTGCAGAACTCAAAGGTGCCAAACATAACTCCAAAATATGGAACTATCTGTTTAAAAAGAAATGAAGATCATGTTAAAATCTTAAAAAGAAAATGTCAGTGCATCCGCAGTCAACCTGGACCAGGGTAAACTGAGGTAAAGGCTGTGGACAATACAACATCATTCTTTTTGGAGTCAGGGAAGATGGCAGAATGAAAGCTGACACAGTGTGGGGTGGGGGAGCATGGCCTGGATTAATATGCCTGTGGACAACCTGACACTTGTTCAAGGTTAGTCCAGAGTTCTTAACCTTTCTTTTGTGTGTGTGTGTCGGGGGGGGGGGGGCGTCATGAAATTCTTCGGGAATATGATGGAAGCTAGGGATCCTCTCCCCAGAGAGATGCACATACCTACACATTTTTGCATATGATGTTAGGCTGGAGCATTAGGTTCCCCTTAGGAGTCCATGAACCCCCATGTCAGGAGCCTCTATGCTGAATGCTCAGCTCCTCCAGGATGGGGTGTCAGATGCCCTGCCACTGCACAGGGTCCCCCTGTCTCCAGGCTGACTGCCAGCCTGCACTCATGGGTCAGTGCTAGACGGGGGGTGTCCCCAGGCAACCTGTAGGGGAGCGGCAAGGGAAAGGGCTAGAATCCGAAGAGGCGGGGAAGCAAGGGATGGACCGCCCTTCTCACCTTCAGCAAGTTGGCTGTCAGTCCATTCCAGAGCGCCAGGACCCCTTGGGCTTTGACTATCTGCCGGAAGCAGTCCGCTGCTCCTGAGAAATGGACATCCACTCCTCCATGGTGGGGAAGGTGCGGGCTCTGAGCCTGGCAGGAAATACAGAAGATGGGACGCGGTGATTTGGTCACCAGGAAAGAAATGTTCTAGTCAGGGAAGCCAGGGTCTCAAGTCTGGGCTCTGGTTGCTATGCTCTTGGCCAAGATGCCTGCCAAGAATGGGTGCCACAGGGCGCTTGTTTGACGGGCTCAGAATGAATATTAACGCGCAGTGAAGTCAGGACACCCCGTTCACCTATTTGTGGCTTATTTTGCTTGGAAGGAAGCAACCATTCAGGACAGGCTAAACTTCATACTTAACGACGCTTCCCAACCTATGCCCCCTGGACATGATAAACGTTCTCCCGTGCCCTTAACCTTTTCTAAATACCCCTCCTCCCCTGGTCTCCTTGTCTTAACTGATGTCTCCTCTGTGAAGCTCTCAAGCGTGGGCTGCTCATTTCCCCACATCCCAGATGTCCCAGGGTGAAAAGCAGAGGGATAGCGGCATTCTTCTAGTTCCCTCTTACTGTCCCCAGACCCCGAGTCCTTCCCTCTTGTGCCAGAAGTTCTCGCCTGGGGCTCATTGTCCCTCAGCCACACTCCTCGTTGCTGCTCGCATCTCCTGACCTCCTGAAGGTCTTCTCCATTCATTGAAGACCGTGCCACCTGGTGGCTTCCCCTCTTCCAGATTCACCATCATCTTAGGGAACTTCAGCATCTATAAGACAACCAACCCATCCCACACCCAGTTTCTGGACCTCGACTTCAGTGATCCTTACTTTTACGCCTCTTTGGCCACCCACAACTTTGGCCACTTCATGGACTTCATCACGACTCGCAGAACTATCCTGACTGATCACCAACATGCTCCATCTCTGAAAGTAACATTTTTGTCCTTCAGTAGAAGACAGTTTTGGGATCAGGTGAAAGGACTTTTTTTTAAGATTTTATTTATTTAGTTGACAGCGAGAGAGGGAACACAAGCAGCGGGAGAGGGAGAGGGAGAAGCAGGCTTCCCGCCGAGCAGGGAGCCCGATGCGGGGCTCGATCCCCGGACCCTGGGACCATGACCCGAGCCGAAGGCAGACGCTCAACGACTGAGCCACCCGGGCGCCCCAAAAGGACTTTTCAGTGGACCATCTCTATACAAAACTGACACCTCTTGCCCAGTGGGAGGGGGACAGCCTCTCAGAGCTGGCTTTCAGTAACGGTGTCAAGTTCACATGAAGCTTCGCACATACTTTGGTTTGTTTCTGAAACGTCCAGTTGAGACTAGCACAGCATTCTAGTGAAGTGGAATCAAGATTTTCCACTTAGGAGGGGCGCATGCCTGGCTCAGTCAGAAGAGCACACGACTCTTGATCTTGGGGTCCTGAGTTCCGAGCCCCAGGTTGGCTGTAGCGATTACTTAAAAATAAATAAAGCAACAGCAACCAAAGAAGATTTTCCATGTGGGAGAGGCAGTATAGTCTAACAGTCCGAAAAGCAGAACCTCTGGAGTCGGACGAGTCAGAGCCTAGGTCTGGCCGCTTCACGGACGGGCCACGTGACCCTGGGCACTTACCGAACCCTCCTGAGCCTTAGTTTCCGTATTCACGGTACCCACTTCATGCGGCTGCTGTGAGAACTAAACGAGATACGCATGTAAAGCGATCAGCCGTGTCAGGCACATGGTAAGGATCAGTAGGTATGAGCTGGCCCTGCTATTGCTATTACACAGAAAGTATGCTAATCACGGGCGCCCTGGGGTCTCAGTCGGTTAAGCGTCTGCCTTCGGCTCGGGTCACGATCTCGGGGTCCTGGGATCGAGCCCCGCCTCGGGCTCCCTGCTCAGCCGGGAGTCTGCTTCTCCCTTCGCCCCTGCCCCTCCTCCTGCTTGTGCACTCTCTCTCTCTCAAATAAATAAAATCAAATCTTAGAAAAAATGAAGTATGCTAAACAGCAATACAATCCCTTACCTAAAGCTACCAGTCCTCCCCACCCACCTCTCAAATCTTAGACTTCAGAAGCCCCGGGACCATGGTGTACTCATCCACCGGCCCCCTCCCTCGCTGGTTCCTATTATTCATCACAAGCCCCCAGGCACTTGCCCCCTCCCGTCTTCCGCAGGCCACCAGTTCCCTGCTGGCTTCAGTGGCTTCCCTTTCCAAACCTCGCCCAGCTTTTTCTGCTCCTACTCTCAAAATCCTTGCCCCTCACCCTTCAGCCGCTCTCACCCACACACCCCTGCTCTGCCCCAAGCCACTGAAGACGAATCCACAAAGGGGCAGATCGGTACCACTAAAGCTTCGAGGTTGCCAACCTCTGCTGGGCTTTCGTACGGCGAACCGAGCCTTCAGAGCATCCTTGCCTGTTCCTCAAGGCGGCTCTGCCAAACCTTCCCACAGCCCTTGACGCCCGGCACCCCGCACCCGTTCCTCTACTCTAGGTAGGTGACCTGGTCTCCTGGTTCACAGAGAAAACAGACTGTACAGGGCCTCACCTTTTGCTTCTTCGCATAAACATCTTTTCTTCCCACCGGTGCCCTGGATCTCACACCTTTGAACTCCTCTTGGGCACCCTTCCCAAGAGACCTGACTTTCCTCCTTAGCAAATGAATAAACTCAAGTCCCTCTCATCTTCAAAACAATTCCTTCTGCCGATCTTGACTTTGCCCTTCAGATACAGTCCAACCTCTCATTCCCACATTAATATACAGTAAAATTACCTGGTTTCAGGGTAGAGGGGGCTAGCAGTTTTAACATACGTATCCATTTGTGTGACCACCATTACAATCAGGACACAGAACTGCTCCTTCTGCCCCCACCATTCTCATGCGCTGCCCCTTTGCAGTCAAGGCCTCCCCCATTCCCAGCCCTGGGCAGCCACTGGTCTGCTCTCTGTCCCTACAGTTTTGCCTTTTGAGAATGTCAGACCCATGGAAGCAAACAGCATGTAACCTTTTGAGACTGGCTTCTGAAAGTATTTTTTAAAAGTTTTACTTATTTAAGTAATCTCTACACCCCATGGGGGGCTCGAACTCACAACCCTGAGATGAAGAGTTGCACGCTCTTCTGACTGAGCCAGCCGGGCGCCCCTTGAGACTGACTTCTTTCACTCGGCACGATGCTTCTGAGATTCATCCATGTTGTTGTGTTCATCAATAGTTTCTTCCCGTTTATTGCTGAGTAGTATTCCATTGTGAGGCCATACCATTGTGAGGCCGTACCACCGTGTGTTTATCCACTCGGTCTGTCAATGGGGCAGACCCTTCTCCCTTCTCGTCCGCACTTACTGAAACAGCGGTAGACTCTGGCGGACTCCACTTCCTCCCTCCCCACTCGCTGCTCTACTCACTGCAGTCTGGATCCGTGTCCGTGACTCTGCTTGTTGATTCTGGCCAGGCCTACCTTGGTTCCTTGCCTTTCTTTTTTTTTAAATTTTTAAATTTTCTTTTTTATTTTCAGAGCACTCATGGCCTTTTATGATTTGGTATAATTTACTTATTTCTTATTTGTCCACTCCTCCCAACCAGAGTTTTAGCTCCGTGGAAGGGGGGATTTTTGCCTGTTTGGTTCACTACTGTATCTTCAGGATCCTCAACACGTAGCAAATGTTCAAGAAATATTTAAATAGATGAAATATATTCACTCAGGGCCTCCTACCTGCCAAATTTAGTAGATTTTTTTTTTTTTGATATTTTCTTACTGGATTTTTGGGGCAGTGTTTGGCACTAATAACCAGCAACTTTTTGTCCTCCTCAATTTATACAACTTCTCTAGGGAATTCTACTGTAGCCAAGGCTTTAAACACCATCTGCAGGTAGACGACTTCCACATCTTTCTCTTTGGCCCTGACCTCCCCACCCTGAGCTCCAAAATCAAGCATCCAGCTGCCTACCGGACATCTCCACCCGGATGGCACACAGGTTCTCAAACCTTGACACACCTAGAACCCAGTGTTGCCTTTCACCTTGACCACATCAAATTTATTTCTAGCTAGCTAGCTAGCTAGCTCCACACCCAGCCTGAAGCCCGACGACAGAGCCACCCAGGTGCCCCTCTTCTGTATTTATTTCACTAAATGGCACCACCGTTCAGCCGGCTGCCCCAAGCCAGGAACCTGGGATTCCTTATCTGCTCACTCTTACTGCCCTAGCCCATCAGTCATCAAGTACAATCAGTTTTATCTTCTGAGTACAGTACTTCTCAGATCCATCTCCTTTTCTACATTCTCAACTGCCACTCTCTTAGTTCAGGCTACCACCATCTCACGCGTGAATCCTGACATTTCAGTGCGGACCACTGACTCCTTCACCAACTTTCTACCACCTAGAGGATGAAATCCAAGCTCCTTAGAATGATATACAAGGCCCTAAAATGACAATTTTCCTAGCTTTAAAAGCACCGTTCACCCCCTGCACTCCTTAGCAATATTTCTGTACTTCTATTAGCTCCCCTTATCCCCTCTGAAGACTTTTCATTTATTCAGATGTTTATTGAGTACCTACTATGTGCCAGCCACTGAGGTTACAGCAGTGAACCAAACAGACAAAGAGTCCCTGTTCCCACAGAGCTGAAATTCTAGTTGTGGGGGAGGAACAGGCAAAAAAATAAAAATAAAAAAAATAAATAAATGATTATATCAAATACTAAAAGGCAGCGAAGGCTCTGAAGAAAATAAAGGCAGGGAAAAGATACAGGGAGTGCCTGGAGGGTGCTGAAGTTTTTATTAGGGTGGTCCCCGAAGACTCACCAAGAAGATGATGACCTTTGAGTGAAGATCTGAAGGAAGTGAATTGTATAGTTATCTGCAAGGGCCCTGGGGCAGGAGCATGCCTGGGTTGTTAGAGAGACAACAAGGAGGCCAATGTGGTGGGAACAGAATGAACGAGAGAGAGAGTAACAGGACAAGGCATCAGAAAAGTAACTGGCGACTAGACCACGACTGGACCCCGTAAGGCGGGTAGGCCATAGTAAGTAAGTATTTTGACTCGAATTACCGAGTGAGAATGGGAGATGCTGCTGGGTTCTCAACAGAAGAGTGACAGAGCCTTGGGATGCCTGGGT